ATACTATAAAACATCACTAGTCCTACGGTAGTGTAGACTGTGACGTGAAAGTGGATTTCAGTGATTCGCCCGTAGCTAAAGGGATGATTATAAAGACAGGTCTGCTGTACACAAAGACACCTAACATAAGTTCCCAAAAGACTGAGGCTCTTTAAAATAAAGCTATATTTTTAGAGCAGTTGAATATACAATCTCTTTTGTTGTTTAAAAAAATATTAGGCTATTTTATTATGAATGTTTATTGTTAAAAAGATTTTTTTAACGTTTAAGTCCAAACATCTTATGCTTTGTGGTATTCTGCACTTTAAAGATTAATCTCGGTGGTCACTTTTTAAACACCACAATGTACAAAATAAATACAAATGCTTGGAACCAATTCTTTTTTACATTTCTTTAATATTTTGTTCTATTCAGCTACACAAGCATCCTCTTTAAATTACTGTACTATAAATGTAACTTTACACGATTTCTTATGTACACCTTAGTAATTTATTGATATGCCGCACAATGTCCTCCTTTTTGTGCTATAGAAATCGCCACCCTACCCAGGGTGCAGGCCGTGGGGATTGAACCGGGTACTTGCAATCTTCTCAGAGTACAAACGCATTGCTCTAACCACTAGGCTAAAATTTTTCAAATTATAGGCATCTAAAAGTATCTGTAAAGCTAAAGCAGAGTCTTTTATATTGCTAGTTTGTATGGTTAGTGGTGCTACCAAATTATTCTTCAATATACATCATTGTCTTAACTATAGGATTTCCCCCAAAACCTTAGCCTAGTGAGACCATCCTGATCTCGCGAGCTTTCAAGGTTTCACTCGCAGATCAGTCTGGCTACTCTCCGTTAAAGAAAATTTGAAGCCGATCACCAAACGAACGTCCAATCAGCGTTGGCTTTGAGGCGGGTTGAGGTGTGACGCAACGAGAAGCGCGACAGTTCAGTCTAAAGAACATGGCGGCTTCAGCCGATGAAACTAGCGTTAGCGTGGCTATCGAGCAAGTTTTATCGGAATTACAGAGTATTTCTTCACTGAAAGAAGAGCAAAACACTGCTCTGGAGGCTTTTCTCAGAGGAAAATATGTTTTTGCTCTTCTCCCGACTGGTTTTGGCAAGAGTTTGATCTTGTGGTTGTGTTTTTGTCGTCGCTCTGCGAGTACGTCATATGCTTCGTTGATCTGATTGGTTTATTTGGCCCGTCTATCACCAACATAGGCCAATCAGCTAACCAGTATTTTCGCCCCTTCCCAAAATTACTTCAACAGAAGGTTTCCAGATGGATATGCGGAGCAAATCCATCTGGCAGAGTCAGGTTAGCAAAACCTACCTATGTTCCATATCCTGGATTTTTTGTCACAGAGCTTTAAAGCTCAATGGGATTAAGCAGAGGAGCATTGTTGTACTCTGTTTAGCACTCCTCTCATCTGATTTAGTTCTTCTTCCCTCTCACTCTCTCTCAGCCCGAATGGACTGCCCAGTCCTCTTCAATTATTTTTATATCTCTGCTTCTTTGGATTTCATTTTCGAATTCTGGTTCTAAAAATAGTTTGATTCTCCTTAGCTTAATAATCTTATCAATAGTGAATGCTGCTTGAGGGAAAGCCTTGGTTAAACTTGAGTTTTGTGCATTCACTGAACAGAAACAGAATGGATATTTGAGTTCCCTCATCACTGTTCATGGTCAAAGCAAAAAAAATAAAACAAATAGAAAAGTCCAGTTTCTTGTTACCCACTTCTTTTAGTGCATTTCCTGCCCTCAGCAGCCTAGAAAAGTCCAGCCTAAGCTGCAGCTGTGGAAATGTTACATTGCATTCATCTGAGCCATCACAATCCATGGTCCAAGGCCCTCAGATCTTTACAGCTTGCCTTGCAAGAAATCAGCCTCAAGGACGGCATATTTATATAATGTAAGAAACCCTTGTCACAAGACAATCAATGTTTTCACTCCACCCGTCACTGGCCATAATGTTACTGTTGGGTGATGAACTACAAACAGGATGTTTTCTGCAGCTCATGCACACACTGGCCTTGGATATGCTTAACACAGTACATTTTCCAAAAACATCCCACCTTTTATATTTATCAAAAGGGCCCACTATGTTTTGCAGTGGCATTAAATAATGCCACTGTGCAGATAGTCCTGATGCCAATGTAATTCAAAGATAACAGACCACTTTGTTTGTGGATACAGACCAAATGAAAAACAATCCTTAAATTAAAATAGGAAATTTGAAAAATGTGGTGCAGTTAATGTTACAAAAAGACAAAAGAAATCCTTCTCGTTTCAGTATTTTGGGTAAACTGAGTCTTTAAGCTGACTTCCAGCCTCTGTTAAATGCACATTCCTATTCATGCTGCTCTCATTTTTCCCTGTCCCCTGTTTTTAGTTTTCCAACAACAAAAGGAGAAGATAATCTGTCCTCAGGCGGGCAGCTCTCCCATTCCTTCTTCTCTTTGTAGCTTTAGCCCATTCTTCTGATTCCTTTCAATCCATAATTATAACAACACTGCCAAGGCATCTGGACAAGATGAACGTTTTTGCACAACAAAAGCCCAACTGCACATTCTTTACATTAAGACATCTTTATGCCTTTATATTCCATATTGTATTCCAATAATTATATTACAAATATGCAGAGAAGAAGAATCAAAATACTAAACAGCATCATTTGTGAAAAAGTAAAATCTGCTGACAGAAAGAGGGCGCTGTTCTTGAAGCGCCGTCAGCAGTGCAGGTCAGCAGAGCTTCTAATGAGGCAGATGGAGGAAGCAGTGAGAGGGAAGCAGAATTTTACACTGCCAAGATGTTTGGTTTGCTCACTAAAGCAAAGCAGAAAGCCTCTGAGTAATAAGGCAACAACTATTAAGGGGAACGGGTTTACAGGAAACATGGTGGTCATTTGGAAAGACGCCACCACTGCCACTACCATAAGTGTGACTCATAGTCAACTGATGGTAAACTCAATGATCTGTTAGAAAACAAAAAAAAAAGGCAGCTTAATTTGTCTTCCCATGACATTCTCTCTCTGTTCCTCCTTCCTTCCTCATTCTTTTTCTTGCTCATTTCTCCCACTTATCTGTAACAAATGTCCACTGAGCAGGACTTCATGAACATAACCCTTCCTCTATCTGTGTTTGGCTGTCAAACCACATTCCTCTACATCTTCCTCTTTCCTGCCTTTGTCAGGAAAGCCTATATTGAGATCTTTGCTCACACCACGCATGCTGCCTTTCACATTGACATACGTATATAAAGCAGCACCGGATCAATGGGGATTGAATGAATAAACTTCAGAACAACACATTCATGAAGATGGGGTCCACCCCTTTAGAATGGGGGTTGTTTGGCTTCTTTTGTTTTTAATTTTATTTTTTTGGAATGACTATGACCTTGAAGACTGATAATAATCACCAGCACATAAAAAAAAAAAAAGGAAAACCTACTTTAACCACAAATGTTAAATACAGTGTAGTGGACGAAAGCAAAACATTTGTATAAAGCGATCATGGAGTTGTACGGCTTATCACTTTAGGAAACAAATTATTCTAAAGCTCACTCAGATTGCTGCTCAGTGGCGCAGTGGGTAGCACTGCTGCCTTGCAGAGAGAAGGTTCTGGGTTTGGTTCCTGGCCCAGGGTGTCTTTTTAGGGGGAGTGGTACAATAGCCTTGTGGTTAGGGCATTGCGCTTGGAATCAAGAGGTTCTCAGTTCAATCCCCCACTCCCACAGACTGCCACTCTGGCTCCCTGAGCAAAGACCTTTAACCCTACACTGCTCCCTGGACCCTACACTATGGCAGCCCACTGCTCCCCAAAGGGATGGGTTAATTGCAGAGCATGAATTGTATTGTTTTGTACATGTGACAATGTAATGACAATAAAGTTGTCATATTAGAGAGGAGTATTTGTAAATAAAAGTGTTCATAGTTTGCCTCATAATCTTAAATTGGTTTAGATTTAGCCTTATTATTTTAGTTTATTTACTTTTTTAAGATCTGTAATGACGCATTAGCTATTCTGAGTTGAAGATGAATGTGGTGGGCTTTAACTGAGAAATGTTTAGACTTTATTATCAGAACAGATATCCAATTAATTGCCTAAATTTTTCTACCCAAACAAGGACTTTGGTGGAATTTGGTTCTACTTTGCTCCTCATACACAGACATTATCTCTGGCCTTTTAGGATTGTTCTTCTATGCTAAAAGTGGGGACCTCTGGCCAGGTTCTGATTTCCTGCCTTTAGCATGTTTCCTTCAATGATTCTTCTCTAATTTAGGGCCCACCGAAACTTCAACTCAGAACAGCTAATGCGTCACTCCAGGTAAAAACCACCATCATGCTTCACCATATGGCTGTTGTTGTGTTCAGGGTGATTTGCAGTGTTATATTTTCTCCTCCCAACATTTCAATTTTGGTCTTGAAAGACCAGACTTCTTCCATTTGGTTCTTCTATCACATAAAATCCCATGAATGACTGTAAAGCGTGTGATTGTAACAAGACAAAATGTAAAGAAGATCAAGAGGTGTAAAGCATCATAAACAGCCCCTGGAAACACAGACTTTTACAGGAGCGACAAAAGAGAGAGACACAGATCCCCTCAGCATGTTTCCACTCTCCCACAGACAAACAGCATGCTCTTACACTTGGTCACAAACATTTGCCAGTTTAGGTCACATACAGGGACACAAAGCAATATGGCAAGGACACGACTCACCCACAGCATGGGTTACAAACACAATAAACTCATATCTACAAAACCTAGTCGGATGGGGATCATCATATCACATTTGAAAACCCTCCCACAAGGACCATGATTACAGATACACAGGCAGAAGCAACACCATCACATTCCTACAAAAACCTCACTTTGTCCTTCACATGGTCACAAGTCCAAACCTCATAGACTGGAACGATTTAAATCCAACACACAACTCTGTTTAAAGCAAAATCTCACATAAACATATCCAGACATGCATGCAAACTAATTTCCTCTGACACTCACCTTGCAACTCGGTGTCTCCTTTGTACCAGCGCAGCTTGGCAGGGGGCTTGCTGCCCGTGCTGGTGCACGTAAGGGTGACTTTTTCGCCCTCTCGCACTGGCTTTTCAAAGCCAGAGATCTGAGGTGTACTGGGCACACCTGGAGAGAGATAAAGCAGCATAAAATAGTTAGAGAGTAAACAGCAGGGAAAGGGGGAAAACTTTTCTGCTGCAGGGCTCGCCTTGTAGCTAGAAACAGCAATAACTGAGGGCTTGCGGCAAAGCCTCCGACAACTGCTGCATATGCTTGCAGAGCTGTGGTGAATCGATTTGGGTAACAGCAAAGATGGACAGAAAGCTGTGATACAGCACCAGCTTTATTAAAGACAAGCTTAAATGTATTTGGATCAGACAGAGACCACCTGAGGAAAAATAATGATGCAGACCTGCAGTGGATATCGCCAAAAATGGTCCATGGCTGTGCACAGTAGCTTAAATGACCTTCCAAAGTATCATACCCACTGCCTGGACTTATTAGTGTTTGTCACGCCTGGTGCACTTGGAGATTTCTCTTTTTTGCTGACAAGAGACCAATTAAAGCTATATAGATAATGACTGTTTCCGTCACCGAGGGAAAACTTAAAAAAGACACTTTGGGTAAACCTGGATAAGAGGCTGGGGTGGCTGTTTGGGTAATTTGCATGCAATTCCAGGCATGATCTTAACAGAAACACCAAATATCTGTCAGGATTTCTCCATTTTCAATTATTCACCCTTTAGCTCTGTTTGGATACTCTGAACTTGTGAACTAGGGGTAATTTAGGAAGCTGTTACTTATATAAAAGAAAGCTTCTTCAGCAGGGACAAACCGGGAAATTATTTAAACTTAATCTGTCCTTTAAATTTGTCCTAATCCATCCAAATTAAATATTACATTATATAAAAAAAAACAGAAGTATTTATCTCCTTGTCTAAAAGTAAAGTCTCCTGATTCCAATTGGATTTGTTCTTTATAAAATGTAATTTACCATAAAATAGGCTGCATTTACTTCTGTGTTGCAAGGTTGAACATATTCAGCGTCCAAATAAACCATCATCAAGTGGTGACATTTGGTCAGGAGGCCTTGAGACAACTTTGCTTAAAGGCTCGGGGAACTTATTGTCTCTGTTAGCAAAATGTATTCATTGAAAAGCATATTTTTTTCTCTCCAACTTCTGCTTAACTGACTTGTGCTTCAATAGCATAAGACGATGCGCTGCTTTAAGGGCATAATGTCAGAGCAACGCCTTTCTATGGGGTTAATGTAGCATACGGTTATGTGAAAACATCAGACATGCCTTTGAATATTCAGTATAAATAGGTAAATTATCAAATCCTTTTCCTGAACTGTTACATTTGGTTTATGACAAACGTGTCCTCAGTTCTGAGGTTCAAATGATTCATTTTATTACATTCGTCAAAAGAAAATTATTCGATTTATTCAGCAATTCTTGTCCTTAGTTTTCATTCTCTCTGGCAAACTTCTTTATCTTGGTGAGCAAAGGTTTCTCCTTATTAATGTCTCATGTAAACTTTTGCAGTCTTTGCTCATTCCACAGGCGTGCATCTTCATATTAATATTGACAAAACCTGCTTTTATTTGCCATGATGAAATAAGGGATTTGAAGACTTTAAACATATTGTGGTAAATAACCAGAATTGCCCCTGTTGGTGGCTGTTAGTAATGTTGTGACCTCTTGTTTTGAAATATTTTTTTAGTGGAGTTCAAATTCATTCAAGTTCTTTTAACATCCCTTAACAAACCAATGTGTTATAGTCTGCCATGACACAGTATTTTTTTATCTATAGCCTCAATGTTTGCCCAAATGTTTAGGCAAACTGCTGATAAGCTTGCTGAAATACATGTCACCTCATTAGAAAAACAGACAGCTATTTAAAACATTTTTTCAGTGACACAGACAGTCATGAACTTAAAGTTAAAGGAGCATTGCCTGCTTTTTAACCTGGGGTAATGCTGCTTTTAACAGAAAGATACAATCACAAGTAGCCTGGTACCTGTCTAATCAACATATCCAATGCTACTTTATCAAGCAATACTAAAAAATATATATTCTGAGCAATAAGAAAAACTACAGTTCTACTAAATGTATCTGATTTTCCTTCCATATGTGCAAGAAAACCAAATAAACAGATGCACATTAGAAAAATAAGAACAGGAACAATTTAAATTTCGTGCCAGTGCAATGAAACTGAGGTATTTTTACTCAAGGATATTGTGTCATTATAAACTTGTTTTACTGATACCTTGAAGTAAAACAACCTGCAGTTAAATTTGCACCATCAATAAGCTGTTTGTTTTTTTGGAGTTTTTACAGAAACTAGAGGCTCTTGTTTGGACAGTAGGATGACAGGAAAAAGGGGCACAAGAAAGAGAGAGGAAATGCAGCAAAGGACCACAGGCTGGATTCGAACCAAGGTCAGTCGCATCAAGGCCTCCATTCATGGGTCGTGTGTGCTAAATACTGCCATAAATTAAAGCTGCAAAAAAGCATAACAAAAACTACACCTTTCTTTAAAATGTATTGGTATACATTTCATTAGTAAAACTTTGCAGAAAATATTTGACCTGTCAGGCCTGCTTATAAACATTTTGAGCTGTACAAACACATACTATGGGTATTTTACTTTAAATAAGTCCTGAGATGAATTCCAATTTTACTGGTAATGTGTCATGACTTTGTTAAATCAGGATGATTCAGTCCAGAATCTTATAACAGTTTGCAAATTCTACTTTACATAAAAAATAACATGGAGATTTTGCTGTGATCATAATAGGAGTACATCCTCTCTTTTTTATACTTGAAGTAACAGCCGTGCACAAACCCCTGCAATTCAGTCCTCAGACAAATCTGAAATACTAACCACATTTTTTAGCAAGATTTGAACACATGACAGAAGCTTAAAGAAGCTCCCAAAAGGATATGATTAAAAAAAAGAAAATCCTTCATTAACTTTACACTCCTGCAATACTTGTGGCACTCATATTAAGTAGTCTAATATTTGCAGAGAAGCCCCCGACTGGCAGACGGCGGTCCAGTGAGATGTTCACAGGAACGCAATTAATTCTATGACAGAAAATAATATTGTCATCTCTTTAAAATGCCATTTCTACAATTCAAATTAATCTAATAAACAGTATGTGTTCATACTCTGAGTTGGTTTGAATTATCAAATAAATTATATTTTGCAGAGGTGAGGATTTACGGCGCCTTCCTAATGACCCCAGAACTTTTGAACAGATTTAGCAAATTAAAACATTGACTGTTGGAAGAAACTGAGAACATTTAAAATCCTCTTAGGTGTGTGTGTGTGTGTGTGCGTGTGTGTGTGTGTGTGCGTGTGCATTTGTATTTCATCCCCTCCCCATCCTCACCTCCAGGCCTATTCATTTGTTCCCCTCCATTTTTTAAATGCAGAGTAGACTGCATCTTCGATTCAACTTAGTTCTTCTTTGTAAGACTGAGGCCTTCAATGATGGGCCAGAGGTCAAAAAAAAAAAAAACAGAGGCCGACATAAAACCCAAACTCCTGCCAATCCAAAATCTCATGAGGAATTTTTCTTTCCCATGATTGTTTTGTTTTTTTTCCTAAATGCAGAAACACAGGAAACATTTTTTTTCTTAATTACTATCTTAACTTGAAGCAAAAACAACAACGGCAAGAAGAATAATCCAAGCATCCTGTTTTTGGAATACCTTTTAGTAGGCCCTTTCATCACTGCCATTACAGTTAAAGGAATGAAGAGAAACTTTCTATACTCCATCTGGAGTCATTGTAGGCAGCACTTTCTCCAAGTGCTGGCAGAGTTTACTGTCATTCGGCTTTTTAAATAATGAACATCCGTCTGCCATCTACTTGCAAACTGCTATCTTGTGCATTAAGGCAGGAAAGGGAGAGAGCGATGGATATATATATATAGAAAGAAAAAGAAATGTAGTTAAGAGATTACGGTAAGATAGGTTGGACAGAGAGGAAGAGGTGGACTGATGTGAGAGTGAAGCAAAAAGGAATGCCAAGATGGATGGATGGATGGATGGATGGATGGATGGATGGATGGATGGATGGATGGATGGATGGATGGATGGATGGATGGATGGATGGATTGATTTATGGATTTATGGATGGATGGATGGATCTTTTTGACTTTCACATTAAAAATACGACAGCAAATCAGTTATTAAAAATGAAAACACTCTTAAACTAGTAGTAGTAGTAAGTAGTAATTTCTTATATTAAAGCTGCTTTCCTCTATTTTTGACAAAACTGAAGAGTCATAGTTAATTTCCACCACACTCTATAAAATAACTTTGTATATTTGCTATTTTTAATTTATGACGTCACAAAGTTTTTTACAGTTCCTGTCCAACCAGATAAAAATACTGGATGGTTTATGAGATGACTTTTAGTTTCTGTCATTCAAAGGCTGATCTCTTTTTTGTGCTTGAACTAGTCAATGTTTATGGTAAAATCCATAAGGGATTTTACTCCTAATTGCCCATAGTTTTCTATAATATTATACTTAATCAGTGAGTCGTATTGCTTTCTGGAGAACTTTAAGAGTTTTTTCTACCATAAAAATTTGTTAAATATTTTTGAATTTATTTTTGTGGACTTTTTAAGCAGCATGTTAGAAAATGATTGGTTCTTAATTTGGTATATGGATCTAAGAAAAACACTAAAGATGACAGTTTGAAAGAGAGAAAGTTTCATTTTAGGATCAACAAGGATATTCCCAAAGAGCTATTAGCTAAGTATACGGAAAGTAACTAAAGACTAATTGATCTCTCTCTATTTCCTGTCAGCTATGCGCTGCATTATTTCCTATTTTCAAAACATGCACATGCTGCACAATCTGCTGTCATTGCAAGGTTCAGAAAAATGTATAAATGAGCAGCAATGTTACAAAGCTCTTAATTTCTTTGTAGTTTTTAAGTAAGTTATATGTAAAGCTTTCTAGAAATGTTAGGAAACTTTACGTTTAAATTTAAGACCTTCATAATTCAACACAATAATACACTAAATAATAACCATTGGTTAGTAAATTTCTTAAAAAACTATTGTATAGCTTCATTGTGTGTTAGAGGTGTTGGGATCTCTAG